AGGCGCTTCCGCCTGAGTCACCCGGAGGCAGCGGCGCCCAGGAGGTCAGGGCAGGAGGCTACCCAGGCTTCTGCTGCGGGTGCAGAGGAGGGCCAGGCCCTGCGCCCAGGAAGACAAGAGAAAACCCGGGAGTTGGGTCCGGACACCGGCGTCCTCATCACCGGCCCTCTGCCAGCTGTTTGAGTGACCTTGGGCAAGGCATTTAACCCTGGCGGAACCTGGTTTCTGCAGCAGCAACTGTTGGCTGCCCCCCTGACATGTGTGCCCTGTTCTTGTTCTTCCTTGAGGCCAGCCCTCCAGGGACATGCACCCCAGCGCTGCATTCAACCTGATGGGCTCTGTCCACTGTTTGATCCTGTTCCCCTTGTCAAAGCCTGGCTCCCTGCAAATACCATCAAAACAACCGGCTACTAAGACAAAACTGAGTTTGTTGCTTCTCTTGTTCAGGGAGGGCAGGATCTTGAAAGAGTTCTTGAGTGGAGGTGGGAAGGGCAAAGTTGAGGTATTGAGGTTTTGGGGTCTGGCTTCAGGCTAGCCTTTTGATGCAGGACGTAAGTAGGATTTGGGTAAAGATCAAATTATACAGTTCAGGGTTGTAAGTCATAGTAATTTAGGAGTTGGCATGTGAGGTGAGGGTTTTATTTTTATTTTTTTAAATATATTTTTATTGATCTCAGAGAGGAAGGGAGAGGGAGAGAGAGAGAGAAACATCAATGATGAGAGAGTATCATTGATCGGCTGCCTCCTGCACGCCCCCTACTGGGGACTGAGCTGGCAACCTGGTCGTGTGCCCTTGACCGGAATTGAACCTGGGACCCTTCAGTCCACAGGCTGACGCTCTATCCACTGAGCCAAACCAGCTAGGGCGAGGTAAGGGTTTTAAAGAGTCTTGGAGCTTCAACGGTTACCTGGTGCGACCAGCTGAAAAGTCATGTGATTTTAAGTGGACTTTTCTGAAATGGAAGAGTGAGGTTATTTGCATCCTTTGTCTTCCTGGGCAGGTGTTTCCCAGAATAATGAAGTCACCGTAAGACAGTCATGTTATTTTGCTTCAGCCAGTGTGAGTCACAGTCCTCTGTTGTTTGCACCCAGAGGAAGACTGTATGTGGTTTTCTTTTGTATAAAATGGAGATCATATTGAGAGGGACTGGAGAGGTCATATAGTGAGAATACCAGGGTTTGAGCCTATTGTAGCCTTTCAATATTACATCACAGGAGAGCTCACAAAGGTGTCCGAGTCTGGAACATTATTCTTGCTCTCAAATAGGAAAAGGGAGCTGCCACATGGAAAAGAATAGATGTTTCCTAACTAGCTCCAAAACATAACTATGTCCACTAACCAACTGCAACTTAAAGCATATGGTTCCTGGTCCATTGCATTTACTCTGTAGAGACAGGTGCATGTTCATGTTTGATGGCATGTAGTGGAGTCTCCACAACTAAGAATGTTCTAGGCTTATCAAGATCATAAAATGGCTCTGAGGCATTTGACTTCTGCCCTTCCTGATTGCCCTGTGAATTGGGGTAAGTTCCTTCCCTGTCTGAGCTCATTTCTTCATACATGCATTGGGGAAGACTAAGCTTTGGGCAGAAGAAGGAGGATAATATGAGGTCATGTGTGAGTATGGCAGTCAGCAGTTGTTGGAACCAAGTCCAAATGATTCAGGAGCAGTGTTAGCCATTACCAGTGTGGGCTGCTCTACAAATTGTAGGTCTAGATTAGAACAATGATGGCAAACTTTTTGAGCTCGGCGTGTCAGCATTTTGAAAAACCCTAACGTAACTCTGGTGCCGTGTCACATATAGAAACTTTTTGATATTTGCAACCATAGTAAAACAAAGACTTATATTTTTGATATTTATTTTATATATTTAAATGCCATTTAACAAAGAAAAATCAACCAAAAAAATGAGTTCGCATGTCAGAGGTTCGCCATCACTGGTCTAAGACAACAAACTATGAGAGATTGTGGGCCCATTGGAAGAAGTTGGGAAGGACTCAAGGTTAATCAGGTTGGGAGGAAGCAGGAGAAATGAAGTTGATATTAACCACGATTCCAGTATAGGGAGTCTGGGATTTGTTTGGGTCAGTTCCTGCACTGCTTCCTACCCTTTCTCCTCCCCTCCCCCCAGGACAAGTGCAGCGACAATATAAAAAAGATTTAATCAAAAAAAAAAAAAATAAAAAAAATAAAATAAAAAAGATTTAATCAGTTCTTTACAGGCAAGAAACAGTCCGAACAGGCTTGTTGGAACCTTTAGAGGTCCCCTGTCTCAATAGGCATTAATTCTTTAATTGCTAGAAGTTGGGGGTGGTCAAGGGGAGGGCTGGGCATTGAGGGGCAATTGGGGCCTCAGGAAGTGGCTGCTTACCAACCTGTAGTTGACATTCAGATTGGCTCTATCAGAACATCCTGGCTGAAAATCTGCTCGCTTAAGGGGAGTACAGGGGTTTGGCTTTCAGGTGTGGGACAAGGGGATGTTGGCAGTAGAGCCCTGTGCAGGGCAGGCATGGGGGGGGCCAGATTATGATCAGGTGAGTCTTCTCTGGGTACTTCCAGGCTCTGGCACTGTAAGGCTGGAGTCTCCCAGGGAAGCCTCAGCTCCCTGCAGCTCCTGAACATTTGAGCAACACCCTCAAATGGAACTTGGCTAGGTTTTCAGGTCCTCTTATCTTCTAGACTTGGGGAAAGCCTTCCCCTTCTGTTGGGGTCCAACCCCAGCAGGTCCAGGGGTTCCCAAAGGTGTGGACAGAGTCGGCGAAGAAGGAATGACACGGGGACAGCATTCAGTTGATCAGCATAGTGAGGTTCTCCAGCCAGGTTCTATTGCCAGGATCTCCAGCCAAGTTCTGTGTTTATTATCCTATTACATCTGTATTTATACCAGTTGATTTTAATCCTATCCATTCTAGTCCAAAGGTTAGGGCGTTTCTTATCTCCATTCCAAGGTTACTCTATTGTTCTATTAAACTACAAGGAAGTAACTGAAGGAGATTATCCTAAGTAAAGATTATGTAGCTTAAGCGTGATTATTCATAGTTAAAGTGATTAATTACCAGCCTGGCACTTAGTTAAGGGGTTTTATTCCCTCCCTAACTCCAGGGAAAAATCCTCACCTGGGGAAACAACCTTTCTTGGAGAGGTGATTTCACAAAAATAATTGTTCAGCCACCTCTCGGATTGGGTTGTTTAAGACTTGGAAGAAGACTGACAAGCAATGATAGCGAGCATAGCTATAAACATAGTGAATGGAGCGCACACGGAGCCTTGTTCCTGTAGAAGGTTGCTGGCTTCTTCAGTCAAGGGATTTCAGCTGTCCTCAAGTCGGTGGTTTGGTTGTCCTTGTTGATCTGGCTAGCAGGCGGTGTCATTGGCGCCGGGCTTCCCAAAGCGTCAGCCCGTTGAAGGGCTGGATCAAAGTGTCCATCAGGGCCGCAATTGATGGTGGTGTTGGTGGCCGGGGAGGAGTCAGCTGTGCCCTCTGGGTCAGCCGATATGGATGACATGGGGGAGGAGGAGGAGGAGGCAGAGATGGAGGGTAGTAGAGAGAAAAAGAAGAGAAAGCAAAAGAACTACAAGGCATGGAAGTGTTTAGAAAAAAGAGGGAGAAGAAAGGGAAGAAGGCAGCATCCTGACACAGCCCTTTCCTTCAGCTGCCCCTTTCCCTGTGGTCCAAGGTAGAAATGGGAAACAAGTCCTGTTGCAGTGAGAGGGCAGCTGCTGTCAGACAGTCTCTGTCTTTACCTGGGTCCCAATCTGAGCTGAGCATGGGAAGCAAAGCAGCCATGGGGGCAGGAGACCTCCCTCAGAAGGGGTTAGGGTTCAGGCCTCTGCAAAATTGGGGGGGGTGAGGGTCTGTGCCCCAACTCTGTTGACCCCCAAGTTGTCTCCTGATGGCCCCTCTACGACTGTGCCTGTCTTAGGTTGTTCCTTCCCTGAGGAATCTTACCCATCTCTGGCTAACCAGCCATCCTCCAGGGCCAAGCAGGGTGATGTGAGGTGTGCGAATGAGGGAGGGGCAGCGCCCCCTGGCAAGAGGTTCAGTTCTGTCTCCTTGGTAGCCTATGCCCCTGTGGCCTTCATGCCCAGCACCTGCCTTGGGCTCCCCTTGCCTGCAAAAGGACTGTGAGAAGAGGGTCCCTCCTGACACAAGGGCAAGAGGGGCCAATACAGGACAAGGGAGGAATGGCCTGTCAGCATGTAGTCCCAGGACAGTGTTTTCTCAGCCCAGGATGTCAGGCTCTTGGCACAAGACAACTCTACGTATGGGGCATATACCAGACACCCCCAGTCATGGTAGAAAAGGGAGGTGCCCTTTCTGGAACAGTAGGGTAGGGAGATTCTAGAAGCCACCTGGGCAGAAGCTGCCTCCCATCTAGCTGATCACCCGGCTCAGAGCACACACCTGCTCCACCGGCTGCTCCTTCTGGAGAGATACAAAACACAACCTCTTCCCCACATCATTACTAGATCTGGTAAAACTCTCGTCTGGTTTGTGTATCCTTCTACCAGGCTGAGTCGGCAGAGGCTATTGTACAGGAGGCCCGAAGCCTTTTAGCTGCTGTACAACCCTCTGCATTGTATTTTTAAAAAATTTAACATATAACATTCTTCTCCCCCTTGTTTTTTTTTACGATATTTAAGTTTTTTATTTTATGTCCTTTAAGGTACATTTAAACACACACACACACACACACACACACACACACACACCAACTGCAAATGTGAAGGGGAGAAAAAGCATGGTACCCAACCAACTTTCCACATTTCAGCAATACTTCACTCATTCTTTAATAAAGTTTTAAGAAATGTCATAATGACATGAGCTTGAAATATCTGTAGGCATTTTCTCTGACGCTCATGACGTGGCACTGGTGATGTTGTAAACAGCAGAAAAACAGGGGCTGCCAAATGACCAAATTATGGAGGCACAGGCCTGCTCTTTTCCCCACAGGAACACACCAAATGGTGATGGCAATGATCTTCTCACATCCACACAGGAGGAGCGCGACATCATGCTACGTAACTGTATTCATCTGCTGAAGCCTGGCTGCGTTCAATGTACTGTTTGTCTATCAGCACTTCAATACACTTCTTAATTATGCTGATACTAGGGTTAAACCTAGCTCTTGACTGGCGAATCACCTCTTGAATAAGGGCATTATGCCGAAGCACTTTTCGTGCTTTTATGATACGAACTATAGCAGCTTGGAGACACATTTTCCGGTCCTCATCGACAGCACTTCTAGTTTGTTCCATTTCCCGCGGTGTGTCTTTCTGCATTGATCGAGTAATTTTAAATGTTTTTCTTTTACTGCTGAAGTTCATATTTAATGAAAATGAAGATTGTGCATCAATAGCTTCCTTTTCCGAATCATGGTTAATCATTTTCACATCAAGTAACGATTTGATTGTTTTTGTCAGTTCCTTTTCATTCATCTGTGTGCTGTCTTGAAGCTCTTTATAGCTGACAGTTTCACTGTTGTTGAAGGCTAGAAGAACTGCCATTTGGTATGTTGTAGCCATGGCTACATATGGTTTGCCCAAATAGTTCATTTTAGCTTCACCTGTGCAGAGGTAATGTAACCATGTAAGTTTCCTTCCACTGAAATGCTGGCTGTAAAATAATTCAAACATCTGTACACTTTTGTCCAATTCCTGGGGAATCGCAAATGTAGATGAAGGAGCCTGAGTAAGAGGCCATGCGCCAGCCTGTAGAACATATATTTGAAAACTAATTCCCAAATCTATTACTGTGTCTTGATTTTTGATAAAATTGTTGAACTTATTGTTGAGATCAGCACTGACACTCATATCTTTACACATCCGATGTAGCTTGCTGGTAAACTCATAACCACATGCTTGCTTTAATTTATTGATCATGGCTTCTTCAGAATCCATAGACATAGATAACCCGTGAATTAAACGTTTCGCCAGCATTCTTGCGTAGAACTTTTGAAAAACATCTTTATCATCGATATATTTGAAAACAGTAATGAAGCTGGTAAGTTTGCCTTCCATTTCATTCTCAGTCATCCCCTTTGCTGATTTCTTTAGTAAGTTGTCACAGTACTTAGCAAGTAATTCAGGAGCTGTGCAAACAGACTGGGGTTCTCTGTAATTTACAACTGATGTAAGAGCCTTATCCAATGCACTCATGAAGTGCTGATCACCATTCAAAACGGTGTTGATAAGTTGAACAAATTTACCATGTACTTCCAAAACTGACTCCAAAAATCGTGTTGGCATATTTTCCTGAGTAAGATTACTGGTCGCTCTAAGACCCTCATCATGGACATGATTTTGCAGCTCCTGTATCATATGAGGTAAACCAGTAGACACAGCATGGAGTAAGACATACATATTTGCCATGCCATTTTTTTTCTCTTGTCGAATGATATTATGACATTCAGCATGTAAGAACTGTAAGTGGTCTGCTACCATTCGTTGCTGACATTCATGAATCACTTTAGTATATGAACTTGGGTGCAAGTATTTTCGACATCGAATTTCTTCATCTTTTAATCTACCTAGAACCTTTAGAAATATATTGTTATAGTCATAAACTACCAGGAGAAAAAAACTGTAATATCAGTAAGTGCTTAGGTAGCCTAATTTAATGGCTCAGCTAAACATGGTCAAGTAACAAATAAGGATTACATAACCAATTTAAACTCACATTCCATAAATCATTTCAAAATTTTATTTAAGCTCTCCCAATACCTATGATACATAACAAGTACTTGCTCTTCAGACTCCAGAACTCTCTTGTGCAAATGCCGTACGTGATTTTCCAAAAAAATCTTAGTTTCTGTATAAAGTCTTTCTCCAAGGGGTTCAGGATAGGCCACACATAAAGCATAGATATCTGAGAAGTGATCATCCCATGTTGCTCTTTCCACATATTCCAACCTGACAACAGCTTTGATTGTCATTAAAAGTTTGTTCCATGTTTCATCAAAATCTACTACTCTTGGTTTCAAAGACATTGTGCAAGTTCAGTGTTGAAATCTACAAGGGAACTCGAATTTGACTGTCAGTTTACTTATCAATTGTTGGGGTCCAGCCCCAGCAGGTCCAGGGGTTCCCAAAGGTGTGGACGGAGTCGGCAAAGAAGGAATGACACGGGGACAGCGTTCAGTTGATCAGCATAGCGAGGTTCTCCAGCCAGGTTCTGTTGCCAGGATCTCCAGCCAAGTTCTGTGTTTATTGTCCTATTACATCTGTATTTATACTAGTTGATTTTAATCCTATCCATTCTAGTCCAAAGGTTAGGGCGTTTCTTATCTCCATTCCAAAGTTACTCTATTGTTCTATTAAGCTACAAGGAAGTAACTGAAGGAGATTATCCTAAGTAAAGATTATGTAGCTTAATTGTGATTATTCGTAGTTAAAGTGATTAATTATCCGCCTGGCACTTAGTTAAGGGGTTTTATTCTCTCCCTAACTCCAGGGAAAAATCCTCACCCGTGGAAACAACCTTTCTCAGGGAGGTGGTCTTGTTTAAAAAACATAGCGTTAAGAGGGGGAGCAAACATATGCCATATACGCCAGGTCCCTTGGAACATAAGCTGTGCAGATGTTTCTTCCCTGCAGAGACTGTGTCAAGCAGCAAGGGTGGACCAGCTTCTGGCACCCTTCCTGTCCCTAGCTGAGGCATTTCTTATCTCCTCTCCCTTCAAACCTGTAGCCTACTCTTTCACAAGATCTTTTTTTTAAAAAAAAATATTTTTTTAAAAATTGATTTCAGAGAGAAAGGGATGGGGGAGAGAGAGAAACATCAATGGCAAGAGATAATCATTTATTGGCTGCCTCTTGCATGCCCCCTAGTGGGGACTGAGCCCACAACCCGGGCATGTCCCCTGAGTGGGAATCGAACCATGACCTCCTAGTTCATAGGTCAACACTCAACCACTGACCCACACTGGCTGGGCTCTTTCACAAGATCTTGATGGCAAATTAAGCCTTGAGACCAAGTCACTAGCAAATGGAAACATAATTTTCCTTTTCTCAAGGGCAAGAAAGACTGAGTCTTCAAACCCTCTCAGGATATGAGGAGAAAAGGTTTGCATTCTATTTTTCTATGGTAAACAAAGGGAAGAAAAAGAAATCATTATACAACTTTAGAAAAGTTTTTTAAGATAAGAGAGTTGTGCGCCCCACTCCAAGATGCAGGAGAGTTCTGACTGTGTGACCAAGAGCACCCCACCTGCTCCACCCTGGCCTCTGGGACAGTTCTGCAGGCAATACCCCAAGCAACTCAGCAGACTCCCTACTCTGGGCCTCAGGAGAGCACTGCCAGGCAAGCCAGGAGCAAGTGGCGTGCCCAGCCAGGGGCCACAGGACCACACTGCAAGTGTGTTGCCAGAGGGACCTGGGGTGCCACCCTGCCATGGGTGCTGGGGCTGTACAGTGAATTTCATGCCAGAGGGCTCAGGGTCCTCACAGAAAGTTAGAGCATCAGGGAACTGTGCACATGCTCCCACCACCCCAAGCATCTGAGTGGACAAACCGAGGGACCACATCTGTGGGAGAAGGGGTACAACTCAGAGCAGAGACAATAGAGGCATGAGATTAAGGCAGACCCAGCCTTTGGGCTAACGATTTCCAGACATTGGCCTGGTAGGGTCTTCAACCTCTCAAACCCCAAGCAGGGTGCCCAGGGCCAGAAAGAGACAAAGAAACAACCCCCCGAGGAAAGAAAGGAGAAACTATCAGAAAAGGAACTAAATGAAATGGAGGCAAGCAATATGTTAGAGAAAGAATTCAGAGCAAGGGTCACAAAGTTCCTAAACCGGCTGGATGAGAAAATCAACAACATATGTAAGAATCAAGAGGAAATGAAAAATGATATAGCTACACTAAAAAAACACAATAGAAGGTTTCAACAGTAGACTAGAAAGAGCGAGTTAGAAGACAGGGAAGTAAAACACACCCAATCTGAACAGCAATTGGAAAAAAATTAAAAAGCAGGGGGAGAGTTTAAGGGAGCTTTGGGACAACATGAAATGAAGCAGCCACATAATAGAGGTGCCAGAAGGTCAAGAAGAGAAGCAAGGAATAGAAAATCTATTTGAAGAAATAATGACAGATAACTTCCCTGACTTGGGGAAGAAAAAAATTCACATAAGCACAGAGTCCCAAACAAGATGAAACCCAAAAGACCCACACCAAGATACATTGTAATTACAATAGCAAACATTAATGACAAAGAAAGAATCTTAAGGGCTGCAAGAGAGAGACAGAAAGTAACCTGCAAGGGATCTCCCATTAGACTTTCAAATGATTTTTCAACAGAAATGCATCAGGCCAGAAGGGAATGGAATGTAGTATACAAAGTAATGCAAAGCAAGGGACTGATCCAAGAATACTTTATCCAGCAAGGTTATAAATAAAAATTGAAGGTGAAATCAGGAGCTTTGCAGACAAAAAAGGCTAAGGAGTTTACTACCACCAAGCCAGCAATGCAAGAAATGCTAAAGAAACTGTTGTAAAAAGAAGAAATAGACAGGGAAGAAGAAACACAAGCATAAAGAATAAAAATGGAAAAAAAAAATGAAAACACACACACACACACAAAAACTGGGGTAGCAATCTGACAAAATAGACCTCAAAGTGAATGCCATAATAAGAGATAAGAAAGGCCACTTTGCCGAAACCGGTTTGGCTCAGTGGATAGAGTGTCAGCCTGTGGACTGAAAGGTCCCAGATTCGATTCCGGTCAAGGGCAAGGGCATGTACCTGGGTTGTGGGCACATCCCCAGTAGGAGATGTGCAGGAGGCAGCTGATCGATGTTTCTCTCTCATCGATGTTTCTGACTCTCTATCTCTCTCCCTTCCTCTCTGTAAAAAAAATCAATAAAATATATTTATTGGCATTTTTATACACCAGTAATGAACTCTCAGAAAGAGAAACTAATTTACCATTGCAACAACAACAAAAAATAAGATACACTGCAAATTTTTGCAGTGAGGGTTCAGGATCTGAAGAAGGGGCCATGCACAAATGAAAACACTAGACAAGAAATATGAATTTGGAAGGCATGGGGGGCCAGGTGGAAACCTCTCTTTAGTGGAGAAGTGAAACCCTGGACCTGTCAGCTTTTATTCAGTTTTAGATACACATCTTGCCTTCAGCAAACTGGTAGCAGACAGACTATCTCAAAGGTCAGTAAAAGATCAATAAATTTTTACTTTGATACTATTAGGTCAGGAAATTGCTTCGAGCCATCGTTATCTCAACACAGAACAATCAGTGCATAGCTTTTAGCACTGCTAAAGCTCAAGGTTCATCAGCCTTCCGAGTTCCTTGATGCACTTTCATGATAATGTTGGCAATGGATGGCTTCCCGCAAAGATACCTTGGAATAAACTTAACCAAGGAGGTAAAAGACCTGTACTCGTAAAACTACAGGACACTGAAAAAAGAAGTAACGAAGAAAGAAAGAAAGAAAGAAAGAAAGAAAGAAAGAAAGAAAGGGAGAAAGGAAGAAAAAAAAGAAAGGAAGATACAGATAAGTGGAAACATATATCATGTTCATGGATTGAAAGAATTAACATAATTAAAATAACCTCCTACCCAAAGCAATCTATAGATTCAATGCAATTCCTATTAATACCAATGGCATATTTCACGAATCTAGAACAAATATTCCAAAAATGTACATGGAACCAAAACAGATCCTGAACAGCTGCAGCAATATTGGGGGGAAAAAAAAGTTGGAGGGATCAAAATACAGGACATCAAATTATGCTATAAAGCCATTGTAATAAAAGCAACCTGGTACTGGCACAAGAATAGACATATAGATCAATGGAATAGAACAGAGATCCCAGAAATCAACCCACATCATTATGATCAATTAATATTAGACAAATGAGACAAGAACATAAAATGGAGTAAAGACAGACTCTTCAATAAATGGTGTTGGGAAAATTGGACAGGTACATGCAAAAAAAATGAAAATAGATCACCAATTTACACCATACACAAGAATAAACTTAAAGTAGATAAAAGACTTAAATGTAAGTCATGAAGCCATAAAAATCCTAGAAGAAAACATTGGCAACAAAATCTCAGACATCTCACGTAGCAGAATTTTCACTGATACATCTCCTAGGGCAAGAGAAACAAAGGAAAAAAAAATAAATGGGGCTACATCAAACTGAAAAGCTTCAGCACATCGAAAGAACCATCCTCAAAATGAAAAGGGAGTCCACTGTATGGGAAAACATATTTGCCAATGACACATCTGATAGGGGATTAATTTCCAAAATAGATATAGAACTCATACCGCTCAACAAAAGGAAGACAAATAACTCAATAAAAAAATGGGCACTGGACCAGAATAGGCACTTCTCCAAACAGGACATACAGATGGTCAGGGCACATATGAAAAAATGTTCAATGTCACTAATCATCAGAGAGATGCAAATTAAACTGATAATGAGGTACCACCTCACATCTGCTAGAATGGCTACCATCAACAAATCAACAAACAACAAGTGCTGGTGAGGATGTGGAGAAAAGGGAATGCTAGTACACTGCTGATGGGAATGCAGATTGGTGCAACCATTATGGAAAACAGTATGGAATTTACTCAAATAATTAATAAAAAAACACTGTTTGATCCACTGATCCCACTTCTAGGAAAATATCCTAAGAAGCCCAAACCACCAATCAGAAAGAATATATGCACCACTATATTCATAGTAGCATTATTTACAATAGCTAAGAATTGGAAACAGCCCAAGTGATCATCAATAGATGAGTGGCTAAAAAAAACTGTGGTGCATTTACACAATGAAAATACTATGCAGCTGTAAAAAAGAAGGATTTGTTACCCTTTGTGACAGCATGAATGGACCTGAAGAATGAATATATATATATATATTTCTCACATGAGGGATATTTTTCCATTGATTTTTAGAGAGAGTGGGAGGGAGGGCAAGAGAGAGAGAGAGAGAAGCATCGACATGGGAGAGACACATGTATTGGTTGCCTCTGGCCAGTGGCCCAACATACTATCCACTGAGCCTAACCAGCTAGGCAGGACCTGGAGAATATTATGCTGAGTGAAATAAGTCAGTCAGAGAAAGGCAAATATCACATGATCTCGCTTATAAGTGGAATCTAATGAATGTAATAAACTGCTGAACAAAATAGGTTCAGGGGCATGGAGGCATGGAACTGACTGGCATATTTCAGAGGGGAAGCATATGTTCTTGCCTCCTTTGTCTAAGATTAACTGGTGGGGTCCCTTTGCGTGGCCTGCAGGGATTGGGCCCAAACCAGCAGTCCAATGCCTCCTGCTGCTCCTGCTTATCCCGGCCCCACTGTGGTCTCCAGGCTGCAGTGGCCAGTTGTGAGCCCTGCTTCTGATGTCCCTCCATTGGCTGAGCAGTGCTCCTGCTGTGAGAGCGCACTGACCACCGGGGGCAGCTCCTGCCCCTGGTGGGCAGTGTGCATCATAATGAATGGTCGACCAGTCGACTGGTTGCTTAAGCTTATATATATATGAAATTCATGCATATTAAAAGGGAATTAATTAGTGGAAATATTTTAATATTACTATTTGCCCTTTCTCTATAATAGAAGTGTCAGAGATGAAAGAATATTAGTAAAATGTATATGAAAATCTTCTTCCTGTCAGAGTCTGGGGTGCACCATGGGGACCAGAGTCAAGTCCCTGCCCACCCACGTGCGCTTTGAAATTGCATGATTCCCAAACCCACCCCCCCACCCCCCCGCATTGGGTTAGATCCAGACCCAGCTGGCCCCACCCCATCAAGCCCCACGGGGTGGGGGGCATGGCCTGAGGTCCCCTGCCCCGGCCCAGTGCTATGCAGCCTCAGGCCCCTGCTGATTGCTTGTTAACGCTCCTTACAGGAACTTAGTCTCCACTGTAGGCGCAGCCATCTTGTGTTACGGAATCCCTGCCTCCACTGTGGGTGCAGCTAGTGTGATGGTCAATTTGCATATTCCCTGTTTATTAGATAAGATACGCATCACCAACAGTCACAGATAATAGTGTGGTGAAGGCCTGGGTGGGGCAGGGGCAGGGACAACGAGGGTAAAGGGGGGGATTGGCAGATATCTGTAATGCTCTCAACAATAAAAAAAAATAAAGTACTAAATAGGGGAAAATGTGTAATTTCCCTAAAGGTAAAAATATGACTGTCAAATAAATATAAAATAGGCATGAGCCAAAGATTTTAACTCATTAATGAATGAGGAAGCCAACAAGATGTTAAAGGTGGTTTAGCCCTGGCTGGGTGGTGCAGTTGGCTGGGGTGTCATCTGTGCACCAAAAGGTTGTGGGTTCTATTCCTGGTCAGGGCATATACTAGGTTGCTTCTCGGTTAGGTCCCATTCAGGGCGAGATGTTTCATCCATGTTTCTCTCTCACATCGATGTCTCTTTTTTTTGTCTCTCTCTCCCTTGCTCTAAAATCAATAAACATATCGTTGGGTGAGGATTTTTAAAAATGGGTTAAAAGAGAATCTGAAGAAAAAATATACATGGGAAGTCAGTTTGCTAATGGATGCAAAACTGCACATTATCCTATGGAACAAGAAAAGGTAATGTTTAGAATCGTCTTTTCTGCAAGGCGGAGGGTAAAAATGTCTTTGTAAAATAGCCTAGTTGAAGACAAAGGCACAGAGACCCATATTAGAAGCATCTAACTCCAAAGGAGCTAGGTAAGACTCAGCATTCCATTGAAAGGACACCCATTTACTTTCTAAGTCTTCCACAGTTATTCCTAACAAGCAAAGGTCCTATCCTCACGGAACAGATACTTTAGGAAGACAGTTTATAAATAAAAACATAAGTTTAGTAAGAGAAACGTTTAGGGTGCCATTAAAGGATACTTTTCACAAAAAGGTAAAATTAGGATTTTTCTAAATTCATCTCATAGATTTTACTTATCAATTAAGGAGGGAACCAGTGAGATATGACAATTTATTCAAAAGAGGACACAGTATCACACAGTTATAGTCAGATAAGGGCTGCTGCAATGATTCTGCCGACTGATGCAAACTGGCAAAGCTATCAGTTCCCACAGGGTAATACTCAGCTGCATTGGTTGGATTGGTTTGCTTTTCTGAGAACGGGAATTGTTTGCATTCCTACCAGTTTTCTGACAATCATGTTTCTATAGAGTTGTGAAACAGCCCAATCAGAGACAAAGAACACCTCCCTATGGAATCAGATGAACCCTGGGGGCTGCAGTATTCCATTGGAAGGATATCCGGTCATCTCATTTGCCCATGTCCAATCTTGCACAGTTTTAAGTGTGGAAGATTTGAAATGGGGCTAAGAAACAGATGAACTGAGAGGGTGTCGCTTAAACTAAGATCTAAGAGAAGGTGCCAACTCTAAAGATGTGGTTAAGACCTTCCAGATAGATCGAACAGCATGTGCAAAGGCCCTAGGATGGCAAAGGGCTTAGAGAAAATAGAGGACCAGGGAGAGGGGTCAGCACGTGGGGGTGGGGGACGGGAATAATGCAAAGCCTGGTGGGAGGAGACCAAGGCGTTTGGATCTCCAAGCACAGTGAGCGCTATTAGAGTTTTAAACTGGGAAGGGCCCCAATCCGGTTTGTGTCTTGTTAAACATCTCTGGTTGCTGTGGGAGAGGAGACTGAGAGGGCAGCAGGGACCCATCAGGAGGCCGTTGCAGTGTCCACGGAAGAGCAGACAGACCCATGCAGACGGGGAGAAGGGCCTGGGTTCTCCTCTCGTTCTAGGCTGGAAACACCATGACTTGCCGATGGGCTGCTGTGAAGTAATATCGACGCATCAGTCCTAGCCTGTCCATAGTAATGCTATTGGTTAGGGATGCCTGAGGCTCTTGCCCGGACCCTTACTACTTGTGGGAGCCCCTGTAAACCTGTGGTGGCTGGACTGGCCCTTTGGGTCTTACTCTGACTGCAAGAAGCACCTCAGGACCAACCACCTGAAGTGGGGACAGTCTTGTGGGACTCACTCTTAACCTGTGGGGTTTGAGCAAATTCCAGTTCGTGCCCTGACCAGTCTGGCTCAGTGGGTAGAGCGTTGACCTGCAGACTGAAGGTTCCTGGGTTCGATTCCAGTGAAGGGCATGTACCTCTGTTGCAGGCTCGATCCCCTCCCCCCGCCCTGGTTAGGGCCATATGGGAGGCAACGAATCGATATGTCTCTCTCACATCAATGTTTCTCTCCCTGTGTCTCTCCCCTTCCCTTCCACTCTTTCTAAAAATCAATGGAAAAATATCCTCGGGTGAGGATTAACAAAACAACAAAAATAAGAAAAGTAAAAACTCCAGTTTGTGTCTGAATGAAGTGGTAGGCCACGTGGCGTCACGGAGGAGTGGAGAATTGGTTGGTATGGAAAAGCCCACACGTCTCTGGTGTTAAAGGTATTCTGTGTGTACAGAGAAGTTGTTTTTACTTTTCTATTGGATATGGGTGGGGTTGAAAAGGGTGACTAAAGGCTGACTCTCAGTCTCTGGCTTGAACACCTGGGTGAGTGGGGTGCCATTTTCTGAGAGGGGAGGACCTGGGGCAGGAAGTGTCTGGATTCAAGGGAACCTCAAGTCTCCCTGTTTAAGATGCCCATTGGAGTTCAAGTCCCAATTCCAGAGGCCGACTGACTCCTCACACACATGGTTTCTTGCTACAGAGCTGCCTGTCTTCCGGCTGGAGAAACCTCCACACTGGCTTGCCCAGAAGCCATTCATTAGCAGTAATTAGCACAGTCATTCATTTCCCTGGAGGGATGAGTGGGGAGAAGGAACGTGGTTGGAGGTGGCTCTCCACCCTGTGGGGGAGGCTGGAGCGGGTTTCTCCATGCTTCCTCTCCACCAGCATGACTGCATGATGTGTCTGCCCAGGTCAGGAGGGGGGAGGGGGGATGGAGGGACTAGGTCATGGCTCAGTAGGCATCCCCGCCGCAAGGCAGGTCCAGGAGGACCAGCAGATCCCAGCTCACTTGTAGAACTGAACTGGGGCCCCTCGGTCTGCATCTGCACCTAGATGTGGCTTATCCTGCCCAGTCAGTCACTTCCTCTCCTTGGGCTTTTGACCATGACCTTTGACCCCATGACTCTGAGGTTCAGTCCTCTCTGAGTCACTGATGCTTCCCACAAGTGCAGGAAGAGTACCCACGAGTCAGCTCGCCCAGCTTGACCATTTCCCTCCGTCCTTCTCAGCTCCCCTCTTCCACCAGCTCTAGGCTGAGCCCTTCCCGGTCTGGCGCTCCCTTCTCTGCTTGGTCACAGGGGAAGCCCGGTCCTTCCAGGCTGATTTCTGTGTTGTGGCGAGAGTAGCTCTAACTGGTCCCAGGTAGCAGGGAGAGAAGTATGCATGGCTGTTGAAGAGTCTGGCTTTAGAATATGCCAGTCACATGGTGGGTAATCCTGGGGGGCATGCCAGTTAATATTTCACAGAGGGCTATCTAGGGGTGGGGGTTCGGGGGAAGACCTGTTTTGTAGCATTTGCTGATTTCCATGGTATAAATCATGCATGGCTGATTTCAAGATGCTAATGTGATGTCAACGGCTTGCAAAATTTCTGAAAAGTTAACAATTAGCTCTTGCTAGCCAATAGGAGCCCATGTTAGCACGTCCCTTTAATAAACATGTTATTTTAGAGGTAAACAAACAGACAAAGCGCAGGGGGCTTCAAGCTTCCCTATGATTCATTGAATTAGCCAGACACAAGGAGATAATTCTTATGGAGGGGGTGGTGGTGGCAGCAATAGAAAGGATTTTCCATCAACCAAAGGCAACAGTGCGTAGACTGGGAAGTTAGGAGTG